TATTGCTTTTTTGAATGGGACAAGCTCCGAAACTACTGAAAAGATTAGAAAAATTCTGTCATTCTTGTGAAACTACACTACAAAGGGTGACATATATGCTACATTAATTACTAAATTTTCTTGATCACGCGCGGGCGAAATCGCGGGCAACTGTTAGTTTTTAATAAAATTCAACAAGAAAATACGTGTTCAATTTCAGTAATATTAAAAGCTTTTATACTATATAATAATAGAAGAGACAATTTAGTAATAAAAAAACTGTTCAAAGAAAAGTATTTCCTTGGATGGTAAAATCAATGGATGAGCAAATTCCAATTATAGTTGGAATTAAATTCCAAAGTTTTTATAACTGATTGTGTTTTAAAAGGATGACTTCTTTGAAATTGAGTCGTGTTCAAAAGATATTCTAACGAATTTCTTTAATAAAAATTCTTTCTTATATACTTGGAGTGTCGGTGGCTCAGGGGTCAAGCACTTGACTTGCAATCTGCAGGTCCTGGGTTCGAATCCCGCCATGTACCAATGTGTTTTTCGATTTCCAATTTACATATGTACATTTATCCGACGTTCTTACGGTGAAGGAGAACATCGTGATGCAACCTGCACATATCTGAGAAGAAATTCAAATATATGTGTGAAGTCAACCAACCCGCATTGGGCCAGCGTGGTTGACTATGGCCTAATCACCCTTAACTTAGGGTAGGCTCTGAGCCCCTCGGTGGGGAGGTATAGTGAGCTGGTGATGATTATGATACTTGAGATTCGGGAAAAATGTTGTCTGAAAAATATATTATTCTAGAAAATATGATTTTAGCGTTGGAAAGATTAATAAACAAGAAATGATTATAACATATTTGTAGTAAAAGTTAGTGGCGATTTGGTAGTATATATCAGGTTAAACAGATGGAAGAAACGGTATGTTACTGACTTACCTAGTGTGGTACCACCTTTTTTTTTGTTTCTGAGGGGAATGCTTTAGGCATACTCCGTGCCTCGGGGAAAGCACGGTAGTTATGTGGGATTCTCTCCCCGAATGGGAGCATACCCACTAAACCCCTCTGTTCCCTCATAGCCATAATATGGGACGCCACGGGTTCGTGTTAAAGTTAACACCGCCTTACCACCGCGACGCCCCACTGGGTGAGTTACCACCCTCAGGACAGGCTGGCGTCTGAAATATTTATTTTAGTACTTTATCTTAAGTTTCATAAGTATTCGATTCCCTAATAATATTCACAAACATATAACATTTAAACGATATTTTATTATGCTTTGAAATTACAAACCAATATATTGTTTCATGTACCATATTTACTTTCGTAATTGAAAAAAATTGTAAAAAACGTATTCGTTCGGAAATCAAAAGATATCCAATCACATAAGCTCTTTTCATTTTGTATTAAAATGCTACCTTTGAAGTCGTTTATATATGTTAGCAGTAAAATATTAATAACATATTTCTCTGAAATCGAATCGTTTTACGCAATTAAATATAATTGCTGGAAACACAAACCTTACATGATAATGATATATTCATTTTTCAGTTTTGATTATGTTACCTTACTAATATAAAATTGTTATTTCATATCTAAAAAATCAATCAAAATTTTAATGTTTAATTGTCGTTTTTTGCTTTGTTTTTTTTTTCGTTGTATTTGTTTTTATTTCTGCTTACCCTACCTCGTGCTGTGCAAATGGTGTGAAAACAAAGGGGCCAGCTGAAAACCAGCGCAGGATTGGCAAGACCTCCCTGCACCAGCTGAGCTGGCCACCTTTTTTTTGCCACATCCTCAATTTATGTAATTTAACTTGTTTTTTTTTGTAGTTTTTCTTTTCCTTGTTTGTGGCAATAAATAAATATTCATTCATTCATTCATTCATTCAAAGGCGAATGTAAGAATGGATGTATGTTTGTTTGAAGGTACCTCCAGTACCTCTGAACGGATCTCAATTAAATTTAGCATACATGTAGAATATTGTCTGGAAGAACACATAGGCTACTATTTTTTTTCCCGCGCTGGCGGTGTTGCGGGCGACAGCTATTAAGTAAGTCCGTGTATCTTCTAAGTTAACGTAAGATTTTAATAAAGAGATTGACTTAGTGCTTGTTTTAAATTATACTAATACGGTAGAAATAGTAGATAGACAGATAAAAAAAAAGTTTTCCGTTATACGCAACAAAAATACAAGATGTTCGGGAAATAATAGACACTACAATTTTATTAATATTATAAATTAACTATTTGAAGTCTCTGTTCCGTATAGTACTCTGTGTTAACCCTTTGCCATACAATAAACTAGGATTGATGAGTTATAATACAATTTATCGAACCTATTCCACTGTATATCACAAAATGTCAATAACACATCAGAGCTGCGTATTGAAATGATTAGATTTCAAGCTCGAGAGCGAACCCCTTAATTGATAGTTTGATGTAATTATCTCCTCGGCTCAGACCACCAATGTCTACATAACATCAAATATCAACCTTCTGAATATATGATAAAACATTTTAATATAGGTTTATATTAAATATTATATGGTGAAACTAATTTACTAAACAAACAATAACGCGAGAGTCAAGATTGCGGATGTTCCATAGAGAATATAATATATTTAGTACGAAAAAATGTACCAAATATGTTCAGAATCTTCAGAAGGAAATTATGATGAAAATAAGATACATCCGCCATATTGACGTCGACATTTATCTGGTCGCCATCTTGACTCATTACTTGAAGGTAGAAAACGAATCGTTTCTTATTTTTTAAAATCGGCGTACCTGTTTGGGCTACAGAAGAACCTACTTTAAATCGGCTACCATGGAACAGATATGAGATATCATCATCAGCTCACTATACCGAGAGGCTCGGAGCCTACCCTAAGATAAGGGTGATTAGGCCATAGTCAACCACGCTGGCCTAGTGCGGGTTGGTTGACTTCACACATATCTTTGAATTTCTTCTCAGATATGTGCAGGTTGCATCAAGATGTTTTCCTTCACGGTAAGAACTTCGGATAAATGTAAGTACATATGCAAATCGGAAATCGAAAAACACATTGGTACATGGCGGGATTCGAACCCAGGACCTGCAGTTTGCAAGTCAAGTGCTTGACCACTGAGCCACCGACGCTCCATATGAGATATATAGATACGTAATGTGCACAATAAACAGATATACTCACGCATAAGTCTTAATAAATAACAATCCTTTTATTTAACATGACATAATACAATAATTGTTACTAGTTCAATAGTTATATCAAGAAAAAACAACTGTCATGTCCCCGTGCTGGGTATAGGCCTCCTCTATGTTTCTCCACTTGTCTCTGTCTACAGCTATTCTCATCCAAGCTTTAACCGCTATTTTACTAGATCTTTGGCTTCCGTATCTCGAAAGGAAAAAACCGGAATCTTGTAGGATCACTTTTTTGTCCATTTGTCTGTCAAGATCCTTTTTACTAGGTCATGTGCCCATCGGGCTTTGGGTCTTCCTCTTTTTCTCTTGCCCCTTCCCAAACCAGTCTATAACGTTACGTAATAATGTTAGCATTGATCAAATTTGGAAATGTATTTGTTCTGTTCAACCTAATTATGTTAAAATATCCTCAATTCGTTTTATTTTTAATATTTCTAGTCCGATTATAAATTGGCGAAGTTTACTATTGACCGGTGACATGCACCTTTACGCTCTTAACACAATTCTACAATTAAGAAAGCTCTTTTTCTCCCACATTGCGACCTTTACGGTGAAACAAATGGAATTTCGTTGTTTAGACCCGACGCTTAATAGGGTCATGGTTGTTATACGACGAAATGTCAGATGAATTAGTGTGCTCGTGTTAAATTCACATAGACATAACTGGGTACAGAAACCGAGTAAAATGTTCAGTTTTTATTACGTTCATATACAAAGATGTGGTTAAGTAATACGAACAATATTTTGACAGTATGTTTGAAACCTAAAATTTTTTATGTCGTTCAGAAATCTTAAAAAAAAACGGTAAAAATTAGAAATTAAAAAGTGGACGACGCCATTTTGATTGATGTGATTCAAAATATTATCCTTCTCTGAAGCTTCTTTCTCTCTAATGATCTGCGCCTTGAAATTAATATGATTTTTTAAGGACACAATTCTTCTACGTCATTTTTTTTTATATCATAAGGTGGCAAACGAGCAAGCAGCCACCTGAAAACGCTGAAATAGCGAAGTGACCGTTGCCCATAGACATACGCAATTGCATATGCGTTGCCTACCTTTAATCGACGGAGGAGAGGATGCACAGAAAGAAAATATTTTCTCTTCCCACGCATCCTCTCATCCGGAAAGTCCACTTTCACTTCCCATCCTTTCCTTATAAAGAAAAGGATGGGAAGGAAAAGATGACTAAATTAGGCCTCCGGGACGCACACTCATCAGACGAAACGCGGAAATGCTTCCACTTCACGCCTGTCTTCTATGTGGTCGTGGTATTTAACCGGGCGAGCCGGGCCGATTCGTGCGAAGATGTTAAAGCGGGCTCTACCACTGTTAAAATGTCATTAGTTGACGTAGAAAAATGGGACAAACATAATTTTATATTTATATAGAAAAGTAGAGACAAACATAATCAAAACCTTTATTCCATTTAAGCTCTATAGAAAAAGATTGGTGGTGGACCTTTCAATGTCAAACCTTTTTGACAAATATTTCAATTCTGTCTTAATGTTTACATATTTTATTAGTAAAATACCTTTAAACTTTAGTATGTATGTTAAATATGATTTTAGAAGTTTATTTTGAAGTGAAAATATAAATTATATTACAAAATGAATAATTTGAAAATGGACTAAATATTAAATACTCATTTATTGTTAGTATAATTAATAGTACAAATTATATATATATTTATCTAGAATTATTTACCTATTATATATTATATAATACTTTATTTGGTCAAGAGTTTAAAAAGTGCTTCATGTATCTTAATATAATATTTTTCTCTTATTTCTTTTCAGCTTAATTCGCAGTATCGAGCAACTTATTCTATCATAAATTAAGGTAAGCGGATAGTAAGGCAAAATAATTTAGTTACTAAGTAAAAATAATATCATAAATTAATATATGAACGGCAAACACACATCCTTTTGTCTGGTGTTGGCACCGACTAGTTTCGGACCCATCGGTGTGGGTTTATGTGGGACACGGCCCGTCGCTCACTGTTGAAGGACCCACGATGGGCTCGAAACTAGTCGGTGCCGACAACAGACAAATCTACGTGAGTGTTTTAGTTTATTAGTTATAATAATGTGTCATGAAAGTTTGAATGATTAAAAATAAATTCATAATTATATTTCTATATTTTTCTAAGTAATGTAAATGCGTGTAAAGATATAAATATTTTTATCATTCGGAAAGTTATTACAGATATATAAATAAAGCTTTTTCTATCTAACGTGAGATTTTATTAAGTGAACAAATAAGCCTTTGCAAATATACTTAGGTACGAAAACGGAGAAAAAGGAGGCAATATTTGTAAGGAAAATCTCAACGCTTCGACCTACTATAAATTCGTAATGCGTAAGATGGTGTACAAAAGCAAACAGATCTACTTCCCTACATCAATCATCGGGTCCGACGTCGCTATGCATTTAAACAGCCCGAAGCATTTGAATAACCCAATTCTTGACACTAAGAAAACTGTTTTGTAATTGGATGAATCTTGTATCCGACGATCTTCTATCTACTATTTTGTTCTGATTTATTAGCGAAAATAATTTTATGTTTGTGTAATTTTAAGTCTAGATGGAAATATGGTAGTCACTTTACAATTTGTTGGTGTTTGTACGAATAGAATGACGCCATTTTGTGAAAGTTGCAGAAAACCTATTTCTAACGGTGGACTGAAACTGATTAAAAACATAAATATATTGTTAAAGAAATGTTTACAAACTTACAACGTCTTTAGTTGGAAATCATAAAATTTTGTCGAAACTGTCATAGACTCAAGATTGTCGTTTCTATAACTATTAATAAATCTACTACAATGCATTGTCATTGTTTACATTGTTGCTCATGATACCATGAGTCAAACATTGCCGCACAATAATAAAACTAGTTGTCACCCGCAACTCAGTCCACGCGGAATTAAAAAAAAAACTTTACTAGTAGCCTGTGTGTCTTCCAGACCATGTTCTTCATTTAGGTCAAATTTCAGCTGTTGCAGCTGAAGATACCAAACAAACATGCATTCTTTCATCTAAACATTCGCATTTATAATATTAGTAAGAATTAAAACTTATTTTCTTCCAATTTATTGCTTTTTGCTAACGTTAATGTTTCATTAAAGCAAAGTATAAAATAAAGCTATTATTCAGATCATTTCGCAGACTTCACAGGTGTTATTCACGGTCTAATTTCTGTGTAATAGAAGAAAAAAAATAGTTCAGTAAATGAGGCACTCGACGCCTATTAATACGTTTTATTACTTGAGCCAGATGTTTCATGTTATTTTGCGTTATATTTTTGCCAAAGTACAGTTCGCATTATTCGGTATGGTCTTTTGTCACTGTAATTATAAGGCGTCTGTAATATATAAGACGACAATATACTGAATTACATTTAAAGTCAATTACCTACTTTCTATATTTGAATTTTAAAAAGAAATTGATTCAGAACGGCAATATACACACTAATTCCATTACACTTTGTGCTAAAATGAAAATACGCTAGTAAATATAATATTAAACTATATGTCGCCCGCGACTACATCTGCGCGGGATTAAATAATACTTAATAAGTAGTCTATGTGTTCTTCCAGACTGTTTCTATATCTGTGCCAAATTCCATGAAGATCCGTTGACTTCCGCAGATGCCTTATAACAAAAATTCATCCATCCATCTAAACTTTCGTATTTATAATATTAGTAAGACGTAAAGTTCAACACTACATAAAACTGTTAATGTTAATAATGATGTCATTCTAATCGTTACAACGAAATCTATCTTTCAATGTAAACTACATCCTACGCGTCCGTTTAGTGACCGATATAGTTCAATAAGGATTGTGTTCCACAAAAACTTTGGACAGTTCAAATCGGAACAGAACAGTATTATTCTGACAAAAAATTAGAATAATAGTGGCACGGCTAATCTCAAAGGCTGGCAACGCATCTGCGTTTCCTCTGGTATTGCTGATGTCCATGGGCGTCGTTGAACACCGAAGTGTTCCCGCTGCTCGTTTGCCCCCTTCTGTTATAAAAAAAAATAATTTAAACTCATTATCATTGTACAAAAATGATTTCTTGGGACAGTAGAGAAGGATTTGACTGTCTTATCTACCCACGACAATACACTACAATTGTGTTTAGTGGCTACTATTGAAAACGGACGAATGTCATTTGTTTGGTGTTGATGTCATAGGGTTAGTTGTGTTATTGTAAATAATTAGAAAGACATTACTTTTTATTTTAGAAAATTCTGTCATGTTATCAATTTAGTTGCGTTATAAATTCGGCGTTGGTGTGTAAACAGCATTATCTTAATGCGTTTACCGAGAACGGGAACAAGACGACAATATATTGCGGTTTAAAACGATTTCTTTGTTATAATTATAAATGAATGAACGCTCGTATGATGTCATTTTAGCTAAAAGTCTCTACCCACGATCTGTATCTTTGTAAAATTCTTGTGAATAATTTATAATGAAATAAATATATTCAGTAATAGTTAAAAATAAGAACTAAAGAGACTCATGATTCAGATTCACAATTCTTCTCTGTTTTCAATCAAGAATAACATTGTAAACAAATAAACGTCACTCAGACTATATATTTACGGAAACTGAATTAACAATTCTTTTAATTTCATCGCAAATTTGTGAAGGTAAAATGTATGATATTCATATGTTTAAGAGTAAATGTCATGAAAAAAAACAATAAACATACAATGATAAGTGGCCAGTTTAATAAAAATATTTACGTAAAATTAGCATATTTTTTAATTGTTTTTGTTGTAAAAACTTGTCCTGTTTAAGTTTTTATTTATAATGAACAGGCTTGTTAACTAAAATAATATATTGCAGATTAACGGTCATCGAAGAAAAACATAGACTTAAAGATTGGTTTATTCAGTGTTTTGATATTTTATTAAAGTTAAACTTTAGGGATTAAATACGATTAAGCAAAAAGCTACAAAATTAAATATTTTTCATCAAATTTATTATTTCTAAATTGTAATATATTATACAGAGGATAAAATAAAAATAAAAATACTGGCCATTTAATGTCAGCGTATTTTCTTTTTTCATCCGCGGAATTGCGAATTAATCTGTGTAAATTTGGAATACGCAAATTGCACTTCCAATATCAATGGCTAAATCAGATTATCCAGTTTACCGTTTTATAAAAAGGATTTTTAAAATCTGTTTGAACATAACTCAATTAAATTGGATGGTTACAAAAAATTATACATTATGTATATATATTTTTTTTTTATTTCTAGGTGGCGAAAGAAAAATGACGGCCTGGAAGATTATTACATTGACCTGTTTCTTTCTTTTCTTGGTTGAAGCGAAGCCTAATTTACACGATATCGGTGAGAATAAAGAAGTCATATCCAGTATTTGCGATCCTGTTTTTAATACCTCGGATGCAGTGCAATGCTTTTGTGCCAAAGACGACCATAATATTGCACGAAGTGCTGAATGTTACCCAACTAAAGAAGAGATTAGCCAAGATGATACCGCTTGGTCAAAGTTCGATTCATTAAAAGATGCTGTAAGAATTAGTCTAACTAATAATAGAGGTATATCTTTCAAGTTCATTCCGAAGAATGCATTAAAGCATACACATAATCTTTTAAGGCTTGATGTTAAATACGCAAACGTTAAAGTTATAGAACCATTTGCATTTGCAAATCTTAGTTTATTAGAGGATATCAAACTGAGCGGTAATCAAATAGAAAAATTGAAACCAAATGCTTTCTCTCATCTTGCAACAGTGAAAACAATTAGTTTGGATACTAACAACATTATGGAAATAAATAGAGATGTATTCGTCAGTTTGCCAACTTTGGAGAAACTCTTTATTACAAATAATAAAGTAACGATTATTCATGACAAAGCTTTTATACATCTGACGAATCTTAAAGAACTAGAAATCGATAGAAACAAACTCTTCAGTTTGAATAGCGAAACGTTTTCTGGTCTCGGCAAATTAAGAAAATTAGACTTAAGCGGAAATAACTTGGAAGTTATCGGCGATAACACATTCAAGCCTCTAACTCGCCTGATTTCTCTGAATTTAGATGAAAATAAAATCCAAATGTTAGATTCGAAAGCATTCCACGGCTTGTCGCATCTACAATCACTGTCACTGGCTCACAACGAACTCTCTGACATTGACAACGTGAATGTATTTCAAGGACTGACTTCATTAAACGCTCTAAGTTTGAAAGGAAACAGAATTACAGATTTACGACAAGAAGTCATGGCGCCAATAATCGAAAATTTTCATCAAAACATCGCTTCCTTGGATGTTGAAGGTACAATTTTTTTGTTTATAATATTTATTAAGTTTCTGTATAAGTAAATATAAAAGTTCAGATGTAATTGTTGCCAGATGTCGTATGTAATTAGTTTTTACCTTCCAGATATTATATCTCAACTACAATCATTTTTTTTGTTCCCAGATAACCTTTTCCCATGCGACTGTCGTCTCGAATGGCTCATGGTGCTCATGAACAAAACTGAAAGCGCATCATTGAAGCTAATCTTAGAAAACTTCAAATGCATTCCCGACGCAAAGCTGCGTGACCGATGGACGAAACGAGTGGAATTGGAAAAAAATTCTCAAACGTTCGACGGCGAGGAACCATCCACACAGAGCCAAGACTACGAATATTACGATGACGCTGAATTGAATGGAAAACTCTTCTATACTGATGTAAGAGATTTGCTGCATTGCAATTCGCCAACTGGCAAACCACTCCCTGACACCCTTGATGTCGCCAAAAAGACTAATACTGCAACCGGAATTTCCCCCCTTAATCCTGAAGCAAACGATACTCCAAACAATTCAGGTTACTTCGATGCATCAATTTTCAAGAAAAATAAAACTAAAAAATCATTAGCAGCTCCTAAAACTGCCAACAGCGAAGTAGCCAATCAAGAAATCAAAGATGAAAAACCAAACGTTTCTACCACAACTCGACTTGCGACCGTATCTGCCAAACCTATGGAAAAACGTACAGAAGATACGAAAGATATGGCATCCGATGAGGCTAAATCTGATAATGCTATTGCGCATAGAAGCGTTCAGGACAAGAATGACGACTACAGCGATTTCTTTACCAACGGACAAGACCCCACTCTTGGTAGTTTGATAGCGGTAGTGCTCATTAGTGTTCTAAATGTTAGATTTCTGCTTAATTAGGTTACTAGTTAGGGTGTAGACAATATTAACTTATGACATTATACTGTTAACTCAATCTCTCACAGTCATTATTATAAATAAATAGTGTTTAAGATATTTGGACTTGATTTATTTCGTTATCCTCTCAAGACTAACTATTGTTGCTCGTAGATCGTAGTCAAACATAAAAAGTGTTAGATATTGAGGCAAAAGATTAAAATGACCTAAGCTATGATTATATGTAAGCCAAGAATACCAAATTTAATAGAAAACTTTCCACGATATTTTGGCGTAGTAGGGGCTTGTTTAGTCAAATGTGAACTAAAATTCGCAGTCGCATTTTCCAGCGCCTGCTCAAACGGAATGGCAAAATTTTACTCATGCGAGCTATCTCAAAACACAGAGAGCAATTTAATGAAAATAAATAAAAGCCAAAAGATACAATAAGAAGCCTCAACAAAGCGTTTTATAGTAAACTAAATTAGATTTTTCTACATTTATCATCGATGTGCGTGGCATGATTTGAATCCAAAAATCGATGTTGCTATATGTTAACATCGAACAATATCGAGTAATCCTAGTTGTCATTTGTCATTATTTGGCATTTGTTTTGAATTTAGTTTCATTTTTTTTTCTCTTTCATTTTTATTGAATTAAATGAGATATACGAATGTTGTTTAGTTACTGTTTCTTTATGGAAATACTAGTTGTGAAAGCGGTTCCAAATACATTATGCTGTGCCGTTCAAGGATTTTACAATTCAACAGTGAACACACATTCGAAATAATTAAATGAAACGAAGTTCAAAGTCTAATTTGATGACTTGTTGGCTTTATTTGTGAGGCATTCCCTCGCATTTTGTAGTTGTCTTTATAACAGAGAGGTACTGGTTTAATGTTTTTATTCTTAGTTTAAATAATTTAAAAAATTACCTGTGCAGTTTATTTTTATTTTTATTCTAGTTTCCTTGAAGGTTCAATTCATAATGTTTTTAAAATATTATTTTACACTTATTTTATTTTTAAAAAAAGGTTTTATATTTTTTAGTTGTAATCAAAATGGCCAGTGTTCTTAAACAAAGGGGGTTACAATTAAAGAAACAAATGCAAGTCTTACTAACTCAAAGTATTAAATTGAGTAGTGTAAAAAATGAACCTAACATATTGAAATCTGTTTATGAAGACATACCACCAGTGAATAGTACTATAAATGACTATATTTGGCAAAACTTGGATCGCTGGCCGGATAAGACTGCTGTGGTAAGTATTTCTAATTTTCTATACTGCTTACTGTGGTGTCCAAGATAAGAAGTCACTATTGAAATACATATTTAAATATTCCTGTTTTTTCAAAGAGAAGTGGAGAGAAGGCAATACTTTATAAGAGTGGATAAACAGTGGAAGATCAATTTTCAATTGTTTTTATAAGACAATTATTTTGTTTTCTAAGTAATATTATAGTATGATAATTATGATTACATGCGCTATACTATTTGTTTTAAAAACAGTCAACATTGCCATTGAATTTGATATTAATGTTGATATTTTAAATGTAGCAAATTCTGGTTTTTCTTATTAACTAGCTGTCATCACTGGCCGAATGTGCGGAATAAAAAAAATACTTAATTAGTAGTTTATGTGTTCTTCCAGAATATATTCCATGTATGCCAAAGTACATCAATATGTGTTTAGTCCTTTTTGAAGAAAACATCCATCCATCCATCTAAACATTTGCATTTATAATAGTATTAAAATTGTTCATCAAGTGAATATATTGTAAAGTATATCAGATAATAGTTTAACTAGTCCAAGTTTCGTAATTTATAATGATAGGAATCTTAAAGATAAATTATGTCATTATATTGCCCAGTAATAAAGCATTTGGTTTTATTATAACTGTCAAGTTAAGTGCACAATGTTTTTTTTATATCAAAATAAAAAATAATGACATTCTTTTTTTGTTTGTCACCTTGGTTTAAAGTAATAGTCGGCTTTGCATTGAACAAAAGCAAAAAAAATATAATTCATTTTCTAGTATTGCTAGATACTCTCATGATGTAACTTTTTTGTACACTGTACCAAATAATACTTGTAAATTCATTGCGATAAAGTCATTGTGTTGCTAAATATGTACTTGTTAAGTAAATTTGTTACTATGAAAATATTAAATGCATCTGAAAAACTTTGACCGTTTAGCCATTGCAATTATTTAAATTACTTATTCCATTGTTTTGTTGTAGTTTCAAAAGGCACCAATAAGTAGTCGATAAATAACAGCTAATAACTTATAGTTAACCTTTAATAGCTAACAACTAACAGCTAACCTTTCATAGCTAACAACTAATAGTTCACAACTAATAGGCCATCCTTTTTTATTACTATTTGATGACGATAATTATTTTTGACCTGACAATACATTGACTTTAAATACATATAATTTTCTTATCGTATAATACTTTACAATATTTTAGGTTTGTGCAGCAACAGGTCATGGATATACCTACGCACAAACTCACAGGATGTCTATTTCCTTCGCTGCATCACTGCGAACGAAATTGAAGCTTAAGAATGATGACACAGTGGCTATTATCCTGCCAAATGTGCCAGAATACCCTTGTACTATGCTAGGCGTGTTGGAAGCCGGTTGTATTGCTAGTATGATGAATCCTGCGTACACCGCTCGTGAGTAAACAACATTTTCTGTGTCATTTGCCTCATAACTATGAGACATATTCTTGAGTTAAGTGTAAACAGTTAAATATAATTAGTAATATCTGTTCTAAGGTCAATAGTTACTGACAGAACCTTACGAAACTTCTTAGATATTAACCCTTAAATGGACGATTTTTTTTTACGTTTTAAAAAAATATATTTGTGTAATCATTTATTTTTAATGCATAAAAATATTGGATAGTGCCAACATTAAAAAAAGTACAAAATTCGTTCAGAAATAAGAACTAGTTGTCAAAATTAACAAAAAAATAAAATAAAGATAATTTTATCTGTGATGTTTAGTATGTTGTTTAAAAACAACATTGTCCATTTAAGGGTTAAGAATTACTACTACAAGATAAGTGAGAGTCATTCTCCAGTCCCGGAAGACCTGCATAAGCGAGACACTTGTGTTAGAGAGAAACCTCTATAAACGAGAAAAATATCACGATCCCTTGGAATCCAACTTATACAGTTTCAACTGTATTACCGTGGGTTTCTAAAACCGAAATCTCTATTTAAAACATATTGTTATCTCTGTTTTGACAGATATAATGACTTAGCGAGATTAACAGAGATTTTGGTCTTATAAAGCCACCGTTAGTAAAATTCTTATAATTTCACAGATGAATTACATCGTCAATTGGAATTAATCGAATGCAAAGCTATAGTAACATCAAAACTATCATATCCTAGTGTAGCTGAAGCCATTAAAAAATTAAAAACAAAACCTGCAGTAATATTAATTGATAACGACGAACTACCAGAAGGAGTTATAAAGTTCGCGGAGTTTGCTGAAGATATGTCAATTGATACGGACTGTTTGAAATCTGTGCAGAGGAGTAAAAAAGATGTTGCCATACTGCCTTTCTCGAGTGGTACTACTGGTTTCGCGAAAGCTGTGGTACTAACACACCAGAGTGTGGTTGCTATGAATCAAATGATTAATAATCCGGAGATTATTGCTGTTGATGAAGCTACCGGTAAGATTGAAATTAAATTATTTTGATTTAAAAAGAGAAAGAGATAGACAATATCTTCTTAATAGAAAGAGACAGCAATTTATCCGCTTTTATTTGTCTTATTTTCTTAGATATATTATGAATAAAGAATCCAATGTACCAGTATCATTTTTATTGTGCTAATTTATTTACAAGTTTTAAAGACCTTGAGAAATAAAGTTATTCGTCTTTTTACACATTAAATGCAGCGGGAAAACGTTAATTAACATAGAAAAAACTTCATAAATAACAATTCTTGCGTAACGTTCTTATATGAATAAAAAAACTTGTGAAACTACATTTTTATACACATGTCAATAGAAAATACGTAATCGCAAGCATGATCTTCGGTTTTGAATAATCTTTATTTACCTTATTCTTAAATACGATTAGCTCCAAGTAACCAGTCTTATAATATGCATTTGTGTCTTTTTAAAACTGATGTTCTGTGTGGCTTACCATTTCTCTCTGGCACCAAACTCCCTCTCATTGTCTCTGTATTATAATCCTTCTCATCATCCTTGACAAAATAAGGATAATAATATTCATGCAGGGGTTTTGGTCTCAGAAACCTACGATGAATAAAACAAACTATAAACAATGACACGACACTTGCATGCAAGATATCGGATATAAGAATCGAATGATATCTCAGTCTTCAAAGTCCACAAAGCACTTTATGCACTTAACAATGGAACAGACAGACATAAAAACAAACATAGCGAGACACAGTACCTTTGAGTCGGAAAAAAAGTTCTCAATTTTAAAATCAATTTATAAAAGGCTCAAATTATTTAAAAAATTATTAATGTAAAAAAGTAAAATAAAAAAAAACTTGATTGACAGATTCTTATCAGTGTGCAGTACCAGCGGTGTTGCCATTCTTTCATATCTTCGGCTTCAACGCGGTGATGATGAACCTCATGACAAGAGGAAGCAAACTCATCACCTTCGCCAAGTTCAACCCGGAGCTCTTCCTGAAGACTATCGTGCAGCAAAGAGCTGAACATTTGTACATTGTGCCACCTATGGGTAAGATTTTAAAACTACTAGCTGTCTACCGCGACATCGTCCGCGGCAAACATAAATTCAAATAATCGCCTATTTGCTCCTCCAGGTTACGTTCTACAAATGTGCCAATTTTCAGTAAGTTTCGTGGAGTCGTTCTAAAGATACCTTCAAACAAGCATCCATCCATCCATCTATACATTCGTATTTATAAATAAGATTAGGTATAATACTTAGCTAATGGTCTTAGGAGCTTCTCTGTAGTCCTAATTTTTTTTTTATTAAAAATATTAGCAGATTTTTTTGTAAATTTACTAATATTTCTTTAGCCATTTCAACTAAGCTCGAGGCTTGTGCTAGGATATGGTTTACGACAATAATCGAATGGCGGGAATCGAACCCCCGACCTCGTGGTCGGAAATCCGTACCCTTAACCTATTACCATATGTAATTCTTGATCACGCTGTATATCTGGTATTAACTAGTTTTTAAAGCTATTATTTTGAGTTATAATTATGTATGGATGGATAACCAAGTAACTAATAATTTTATACTAGATAGCTGGGGCACGACTTGTTTATCAAACACATAACTACTTCAGTATATAAATATAGTCTTTAATGATTGCACTGGACATGAATACGGTGCTAGAAAATTCTTATAATATTTAAACTTGAAGTTTTTTTGGACACTATTTTTATTAATTTTAAGGAAAATAAAATAAATTCTACCTATATTTTATTTAAAATTTATTAAAAACATGGATATTTAAACTTTTTCCACTAACGAAGCACTCTTACAAATATATAAATATCTCTCAGTTTTTTGCATCTATTTAAATGTACAGTTGGGAAAATTATCGGTGTTCCACTTTAAAAGCGATAGTCAGTCGTTTGAATGTTCCTAACTGTGTTGTTCCTTAATCGTTAAGAAACCAGAAAAATTTAAAAGAATTTTGAAATCGGCACTTCTAAATAAATGACATATTTATTGCAACTTAACAATCAATTGTTTTATATATCTACTTTTCTTTTGTTTCGCTTTTTTGTCTTTCTACTATAGTCTGAAAAAAAAACCGTTTAATCTCTGTTCTTTTTGTTTATATATTATATAATTGTGAAATGGTTTATAACGTCTGTATTTGTTAAATTTGCTGATCTTATAAATTAATAAGCGACCAGTAAGTACACCTAAACCCTGTGGGTTTTTAGTACTACTGTCTAACCGATGTTTAATTTGTGACGTGAAGTTTTTGTATAATAAATTAAAAAAAAAAAAACTGGAACACTGCGAATTTCCGTGACTGTACGAGGACCAAAAAAATATACTTCTCTTAAGTCGTTGCAATAAGATTGCTTTTTGCATTTCAGTTGTATTCTTGGGAAAGCACCCCGCGGTGACTGGGGAACATTTGCAGTCAGTGCGTGGCATGATTAGCGGTGCTGCGCCACTCTCGGAGTCTGACGCCGCTGCTGTCTTGAAGAAAAACGTGAGTAAATTCATACGCGAAAGTAATTCCAGACTAATCTTATGAATACACTCAGATACGGAATGGAGCAATGTTAAGAATTATCTCCATACATTTGGTATTTCATAGTAAGGCTTACTGATTTAATAGATGCAGCTATAGCCTAGTTGTTTGTACTAAATGTTTTCAAATCACTTTTTACCCTGAAATTACTTTATAACAAAAATCCTAATAAAAATTTAAATCGATTCAATAAGACACATTAACCGTTGTTTTCTGAGACCAAAATCCTCATTTAACACATACTGTTATTCTGTTTTATTAAAGAGAGTGATGCGAAGATGATACTATGTTTTATACAGAGAGTTGGTGCTCAGAAACCAAAGGTTAGAGTGCTATCAGTGCCAAAAACTCATTAACTATAAAACGAATTTCAGAAAAACATATTCTTCCGTCAAGGCTACGGACTGACGGAGACTAACGGGGGAGTTTCAGTGGGAAGAAAAACTGATGTCAACCATGCCACCGTTGGATACCTCTTCGGCAGCTGCGCTGCTAAAATCATCGATGTTAACACACAACAAGCACTGGGACCTGGGGAAGTAAGTCATTAAAACTTCCTTGCAGGATAGAGCATTGCTTGAAAATGACAGCTTTTGCGTCGATACGACTTAAACTCCACCACTATCAAAGCAACCTGCGGCAAATAACTGAAAATCAAAATGGCACAAAATATCACGGTATATAGCCGGTCCATGTGTCAAACTATTTAGATAGAGTTGTTATAATTTCTCATTTCTATTGAATCTTTACATATGTATAAAATTGTAGTGTCCATATGTACTATCGTACGCCATGGTGTATTTGATTGTGATAATGAATAAACATATTTTTAAACGTTTGTATGTCTGTCCTTAAGACTGCGTTTGTTCCGAGTAATCTCCGAAACGGCTAGACCGATCTTGACGGGATTTGGTTTGGGAGGTAACTTATGCAAGGGGCCATGTTATAGGATAATTTTTTTGTTTTTTTCCCTCTGCACTGACGAAAAAATCAATGTAATATTTTTGTCTTTAAAGGAAGGTGAGATTTGGGTTCGCGGGCCGAATCTAATGCAGTGCTATTACAAGAACGAGCAGGCCACCAACGAAGTCCTCACTCAAGATGGCTGGTACAAGACGGGGGACATCGGGAAATACGACACAAACAAATATCTATATGTCACTGACAGATTGAAGGAATTGATCAAGGTAGGTACACAAAGGATAACCTAAATTAATTGATAATTTTATCAAGATATATAATGAACCCTGGTTTGTTTTACATTTGGTAAAATGTATCTATTTTATTTCAAGAATCAATTCTTTCACACTGACTCAAGCCTTTACCTTTTATGTTATACTAGCTTTCGCCCGCGACTCTGTCCGCGCGGAATAAAAAAACTTAATAATTAGTCTATGTTTTCTTCTAACCTATAATATGTTCTATATCTTTGCCATATTTCATCAAGATCCGTTCAGCCATTTTGGAGATACCTTCATTCAAACATCCATTCATCCTTCCGTCTAAACATTCGCATTTATAACATTAGTAAGATATCATAAGGTGATCATTATCGTAATCATCACCCTTAACTTAGGGTAGGCTCCGAGCCCCTCGGTGGGGACGTATAGTGAACTGATGATCATAAGGTGACCAACGAGCGAGCTGAATGGATTCGCTGAAATGGCGAAACGATCAAAAATCATTCATAGTGTCCCCTGAATGTTTCCAGGTGAAAGGCTTCCAAGTACCTCCAGCGGAATTGGAAACTATTTTACGTACACATCCTAAGATAATGGATTGCGCGGTCATCGGGGTTCCGGATCACATGACAGGGGAAGCTCCCAAAGCATTCGTTGTCGCACAGAAAGACATCACAACAGACGAAATCAAACAATACGTGAACAATCAACTTGTAGCTTTCAAACATATCAAAGAAGTACAATTCGTTGATGAAATACCTAAGAATCCAGCTGGGAAGGTTTTAAGAAAGGATTTAAAAGCTAAATATTGTTGATTTTTTTATATTATTACGTATCAAACTAGCCTGGATTCGCCGAAATAGCGAAACGACCGCAGCCCATAGACATTCGTTATTGCAGATGCGTGTCCTTACCTTTAATAGTAGGAGGGGAATTCTACGCCTAATTATACTCTTCTTCCCTTCTCTTATAAGGAAAGCATGGCAAAGGGAAGTGGATTTAACAAGGACGAACAGAAAGAGAATATTTCCTCTTCCTATGTGTCCTCTCCTCCGTTAAATCCACTTCCACTTGCCATCTTTTCCTTATAAGAAAAGGATGGGAAAGGGAAGAAGACTAATATTAAGCGGAGAATTTTACTGCCGTGACATTTAATATGGAATAGAGAATAGATCGAGTTATTTGACCCGGTGGGCATAAGTCAAACTAAATTATGACAGCACACTAGCGCCCTCATCACAACATCCTTGTACGTAGATATGGCGGCTGTCAATTTTTTTTATTGGTTATATATTTGTTGCTGTTTTTTTTAATTTTACCTTATATACGATTATGTTTGAAGTAGTTTTAATTATACATTATATGTATAAGTATGATTCAAGCGAAAGGCTCAAAAGTGTATTTTATTTTATGTTATAATCTTAAATTTATAATACATTTTGGATAAATTCTTATATTATCAAGATGGGAATTGTTGATTATTAAAAATAAAAAATATGTAACTGTGGGTTTCTGAGACCGAAATCCCCGATTAAAACATGTTATTGTTATAGTTGTTTTCAAATATCTCGTCGGCTCAAGGTCGTTTCCTAGCCTCACACCCCAATACACCTAACATTGCGTTCTGCGCAGCGACTCGCGCAAAGTCAAGAGCCGCTAACATATCTTAAAACTATTATACATTGCCTGACTAACCATTGGTTTCTGAGAACAAAATGTATATAACTTATCATCCATCATTATCTTTGACATAACAGATATAAAAAAATGTTTTAAACTGAGAAATCAGTCTCAGAAACTCACAGATTTTTATACGGGGTGTTATTCTATAAATATTCTTAAAGTGTCATAAAGTAGTCAAAAATTACATAATATTATACTGAAATATTGTTAAAATATTGCATATAAAACCCATAACATATGTAAAAGTACTTGTAAATGCCTTAATAAATGTAGGTAAATAAAATTCACACAAAGCTGTGCTTTATTAAAGTACTTAAATCTTTTTTAAAATGTCTTTAAGACTAATAATAAAATTTTCATATTTTTTATTAAAAAATGTTTAAAAAAAATATTCAATTATATTACGTGATCGGATAATTGTGCAATCGGTCTGTTTTTCGGACGCTAAAATGTTTATTGATTTTTTTTTATATCATAAGGTGGCAAACGAGCGAGCGGTCACCTGAAATCGCTGAAACAGCGAAGTGACCGTTGCCCATAGATATACGCAATTGCATATGTGTTGCCTACCTTTAATCGACGGAGAAGAGGATGCACAGAAAGAAAATATCTTCCCTTTCCTTGCTTCCTCTCATCCGGAAAGTCCACTTCCACTTCCCATCCTTTCCTTATAAGAAAAAGAGTGGGAAGGGAAGCAGGACTATATAAGGACTAATTTTGGCCTTCGGGACGCACAAAATTTTTTTAAAAATACGAATACGTAATTATAAATACTTATCTTATTTGTTAAATATTCTTATAAATTAATCTTATTAATTATGAAGTTAACTTATACTTGGCGGGGATTGAACCTGTATAACATTCCGGGTGCGCAATTGTTAAACTATTGATTTAATCCAAATAAAATGGTTAAGTTGGTAGTTTCTATAAAACTTTACTAATAATGATTGCTTGTGCCTTGTTACTGTCTTAATATGTTATCTATATTTAAAAAAAAAGATGTAGATAAGATTTTTTTTCGACAGCTCTTAAATGCCTATAAAATATTTATCTTATATGTTTTATGTATTTTGGCAACTAAAAATATAATACATCTACTTAATATAAGAAAAATATATTAAAGAATAGCTTTTATTATATGCCTTTAATGCGTAATTTTTTATACATTTATATATAGATTATAGAAAGATATAAAATAATTAAGTTATATATTAATCTAAGTCTATGTTTGTTTTAAAAGACTTGTTATTCCCATTTAAAGGACCAAATTTGTACACAAATATTTGCGAAATATTTTAATTAATAGGGAAATATATGATTTTTTATAAAAATTTTATTACTATATTTTATTGTCATGACAAATAGAATAATTTTATATAAATGTTGCTAATAACTTGAGGTTTATAAGGTTATTGAATCAATTTTATAATAAAATGTTATATATAAAATTTATATTTATTTTATCATAACGTTGCAACTGAAAAGTCATTTTGATAATAAGGGGAACGTCTAAATTTGAAGAACGATACCAAATCAGTCATCATCATCATCAGCTCACTACACGTCCCCACCGAGGGGCTCGGAGCCTACCTAAAGTTAAGGGTGATTAGGCCATAGTCAACCACGCTGGCCCACTGCGGGTTGGTGGACTTCACAAATCGTTGCATCACGATGTTTTCCTTCACCGTAAGAACGTCGGATAAAAGTACATATGTACTGACTTGGTCATCCGACGTTCTTACGGTGAAGGAAAACATCGTGATGCAACCTGCACATATCTGAGAAGAAATTCAAAGATATGTGTGAAGTCAACCAACCTGCAGTGGGCCAGCGTGGTTGACCATGGCCTAATCACCCTTAACTTTAGGTAGGCTCCGAGCCCCTCGTTGGGGACGTATAGTGAGCTCATAATGATGACCATGTCAAATTGACTTCGTCGTATTTACAAATAAAAGACTTGCATGTCTCAACGAACTAAAAACTCCGTTCCTTCATACAAGTAAACAAATCAGATTAAAAACATCTGGGATTAAATAAATAAAATCTGGGGATTCACTATCTATTGTATAGAGATGTATGCATTATTTTTACAACATTTATTGACCTATAACGTTTTAAGATTTAAAATATGTTTGAATGATAGTAACTTTAAAGATGGAACACCGCCAATTGAGGCGACTGTACATAACGACTGAACGTCCTCGCATCTCATTAGCCATATTTGGACGCACAAACAACAACAAGTTAAATTAAAAGATACATATATTTGTTAAGTTATTAGTTTAGTTAAATATTAGTATTAGTTAAATTAAAACTTGTAACAAATATTTACACCAAAAACATTTTGTGTCTGAATTTCCCACGTTACAAAGAAATAAAAATATATTATCGTAGTTAATTACAATAAACATTTATAGCAGGGAATAATTATAGTGCAATCGAAAGCATGTAATCATATTTTTTTTATATTTTCCAGACTTTTGAGGTATAAGCCTACGGCGTTGTGTTGAGATTCTACTAAAGACTAACCAAAATTTGTTCGGTGGATTAGAAAGGCATGAAGTAGGCACAAACATTATTTTTACTATAGAACTAACAAGGGATCCTCTTTTAGCCTTTTACCTAAAGCGAGGTGACATTCGATTCGTCGTAAAATTGTTTTTAATTTTTTTACTATTGCCTGTTTAATATGAATGCAGTTAATGTTTAAAAGTGAAAGTCTACGTTTACATTATTCATGTACTCGATTTTACCGGTTTCCTTTACAACCAATACTTGTTCGATAAAGCGGCCAATAAGAAAAAAAACTTCGCGATATAGGACAAAGTTATTTCTCTTCGTTTAAGTTCTAATTCTTGTACCTTTTACTCTTTAATTATTTCAAACACTGCCTTGCAAACTCAGGACCCGTAACGTAAAAGCAATATACTATAACCTATTTAATATAAATAAATATTTTTTTCTAAGCAACAATTCTTATGCAAATCTTAATTAAAGGTAATTTTTTCTCTATACTATAATTACGTTTTAATAGCTTATCAAAAGACTAGTTAATGCTGCTATTGAATTTACCTTAACCCTGGAGGTTAAGGTAAATGAATGGACTAAGCTTGTGAACGTAGATTAAAGAAGTAGTAACATTTTAATAGATTTTTACTAATAAACGGACTTCGTATTTGGCTAAGATATTACGAGAAATAGAGATACCATTTTAATTATTCAATAGGTAAAAAAATACGATCAAAAGATATATGTTTAGGGTTCCGTACCTCATAGGAAAAAGACGGAACCCTTATAGGATCACTTTGTTGTCCGTCCGTCTGTCTGTCAAGACCCTTTTTTAAATATACAATAATAAAATGATTTAAAGTGTCCGGGGAAGTACAAACATCTCTTAGAATATAGTATTTTATTCCATAAATGATAGTTAATCTTCGGAGATAAAAGAAAATGATTAAAAAAGAAATTAGAAAGTGACGTTTGTTTATGAGATTTATTTGAAGCTGAGTATATTTAAATTGCGATTCCCTTTTTTTAAAGAGAATTGCATTTGTTACGCACACGACCTTGCAGTTATTGTCCTTGTCACGAAGTAATCAAGGTTTTAAGCGAATTAGTTAAATTTTAAGCGTGCGAGGTAATTGTGATTACCTCTAGTCTAGTTTTGATAACGTTATCAAAAGATAAGATACGCAGAGAGAAATATTGTGTCCTGTTTGTGCACGAAGCACCCAAGAGTTAAGGAGATTCTTTTAATTATTAAACAAAATACACATTTAGTTAAAACAACTAATCGTAACATTGTCTGTCCCCCTAAAAAAAAAATAATACGAACAAGTTTTTCGGCTTTCTCGCGACAATCATGTCATGTTACATAATGTAAAGTCGATTAACCATTGTTTTCTGAGACATAAATCTAGGTATAAAACATATCGTCATCCCTGTCATTATCATTGACCAAACGGAGATAACAATATGTTTTAAACGGGGATTTTAGTCTCGGACACTCACGGTAAAAACACAGACAAGGTTACGTCGTTTCGGCATTATGCTGTAACATCGGAAGGAGGCAGACAGTGTCAAGGTCACGAGCTAGTCTTGACACACCCAGTCGCCAAACATTCGCATCTTTTACAAACACGATACATTAGCGACCCGCCTTCGTTCCGCCACTAAATATGGATTTCACTATTATTATTAGGCACAGAACCTTCTAATAAATGTATCATTTTTGTGTATTTACAGCAAGTTTTATAAGTTATTATATTTTTAAAATGGTAGGAAAAAATTACAAATATATTGTGCAGCGTAAATAAATCGTAAAGTGTACTAAAAATCTCGTACTAATTTTGACATAATTGACGATGACGATACAAAAACAATAGTCACAAATATTCATGCTAGGCCCTATTTTTTCATGGCGACAATTCTGCAGCCGTTAAATTTGATAAAAATAGTATTATTATTGTAATATCGAATACTTTTCAGCCGCGTTACACGGGAGTTCATTCAACTTTGAAATCAAATCTTTTATGACACATATTTGTGATGAAGTAATACATAAAATCGACATAAAAAAATTACCTTTTTGTTGTCATTCAAGAAATAATTAATTCGAGTAATTAAATTGAATAGATCAATGCATATAAAGTACAATTTCAACACTTTAATGCTTTGATTGCGGCGGTTAACAGACACAATAGACATTAAGAAATTCAGCCTTTGATGAATAAACTACCGGACTTTGCCCTTATTTACAAAGTCTTCTTGTAAATTATTCTTTCTTATAGAAACACTTTAACAGTGGTAGAGCCCGCTTTAAAATCTTTCCACGAATTGTCGCGACTCGCCCGGTGAAATACCACGACCACACAGAAGACAGGCGTCAAGTGGAAGCAATTCCGTGTTTCGTCTGATGAGTGTGCGTCCCGGAGGCCTAATTTAGTCCTCTTTCCCTTCCCACCCTTTTTCTTATAAAGACAAAATGGGAAGTGGAAGTGGACTTTCCGGATGAGAGGATGCATGGAAAGCGAAAATATTTTTTCTTTCTGTGCATCCTTTCCTCCGTCGATTAAAGTTAGGCAACGCATATGCAATTGCGTATGCCTATCGGCAACGGTCACTTCGCTATTTCAGCGATTTCAGGTGGCTCGCTCGTTTGCCACCTTATGATATAAAAAAAACTAGCTGTCGACCGCAAATCCGTTCGCGCGGAATTTACAATAAAAACTAAATGAGTACCCTATTTTTATGGCAAATTTCATCGAGATCCGTTGAGATATTCAGGAGATACCTTCAAACAATCATCCATCCATCCAACATTCGCGTTTATACTATAAGTAAGTATAGCGATGTATGAGACAAAAATCATGGCAACACTTTTGATCCGACTGTCAAAATTTTGACATCTGTCAACATTTTTACTTGAAGGTAGATATCTGTGGGAGTAATTTAGAGAAAATATTTTATTGCATGATAATATAGCAACAGCTGGTTATCTATATAAATATTTGTTATTTATCTATGTAATTACTCATTTTCAAACTATATTTTATCTGTCAATTTTACATCCAGGGATCGAGTTATTGCTTCAGTATGAACAATCATTTTATGACAATTGTAATCTATCATGATTATTCTACACGTACCTAATGCGATTAAATTACATTTTAAACGATAAGGATTCAATATTATTAAATATATTAATTTTTATTCCGAAATAAAGATAATAAAAAAAACTGACATCATCTGTAGCAATTGTTACAGATTACGTCAGATGTTAGTCATGAAATCTGTTAGAAAAATTAAATTCATGACTTCGATTTACATATCCAAAAAAATCGTTCTTATTATTATTTTTATAAGTAAAAAATAATTAGTAATAACTATTAAAAGATTCTTATTTTTTGTACGTTGCCTATTATAATGTTTTACAATATGCATAATACTTAAAAATCAATACGAGAGTATACATCGCTCCCAAAACTAGAACAAAAACATAAAAATTAAATTGTATTAATTAGTAAAAGAAAAAATTATAACTTTTATTGTAGAGACTTTACTACACAAGCGCGTATTTTGCGCAATTAATACCTTTTTTTTTCTGCGCCAATATTTATCCCATCTTATTTTTAACATATCATTATCTTTAGGTTATCATTGACATTATTAACTAGAATAATTTGTAGTTAAATAAGTAAAAATTAGCCTTTGCGGATGTTATTTTTGGCTTGCATCGTTTATCGGTCGCGACGCGCTATAACCGCGAATTCATCGCCGTTTCAGTTCTCATTCCGTTGCCGCCAAAAGCGCGCGCAAATCGCAAAACATGGCGCGTAAAATTCTCTTACGTCAATTCAAACAGCTGCGAACCCTAAGGAGATTCACGACGAGTGTTAATTTAAAAAATCAAGAGCAATATGTTATTAAATCACCTTTGGAAGACATTGTAATTCCTAATATGAGATTTTTGGACCGTCTATGGCTGGAATCTCCAAGTTTTATAAATCATGTTGCAATTGTAAGTATTTGTTATTTTTTTTGTGCCATTTATTCTTTTTTTAAATTGGATTAAACAGAATACAAATTAGTCTATATTTCTCTAACAATTGTAACCTTGCAGCGCGTATGTGTGAATATCAACAAATATATGTAAATTAAACATGTTATCGAACATGAAATGCAAAATTTTGTTTTGAATTGGACTGTGGACTTGGATTAATTAATTTGTTAATTTATTTGGCATGCGCAAAACATGTTTTTTTTTTTAAAATATACAGTATATTTACTATTACATGCAGCAGATTTTAATTATCCTGTAAGATCCAAGATATCTGAGTAACTTTTTCTAAAAAGACAAATACAATTTTCAAACAAAATCACATTATATCTCTTAAAGTAAAGTCGCTTTTTGTAAACTCTGGTCTCTCCGTCGGTCTCTGCCTACCTCTCTAGTTTACTGGCGTGATTGTTACGTAATTAAAATTCAAAGAAATCATAGAATTTCATACGATAATGTAAAATTATTCGTACATTTTATTTCATTGTAACCAAAATTAATGTTAATTAATACGTCGTGATATAAACAGATTTTATTACAAGCTTTTTTTATATTTACACTGACGCATTAAATTCAAATAAAAAATGTATTATTCGTTTTATATAATTACCTTGTACTTTAGACTGACAGTTATTTTTTTTTTCATTTTGTTTGTAGCTATGGTATTATAACACGGACAAGAATTTAGTTTTGCATTTAAAATGTAATGTTGAGAAATATTAAAAAAAAATAGGAAAATATAAACAATGAGGATTAATTTAGAAAAAAAAACATTAAACATTTACGTAACGTAATTTTTTTTGTTTTTTTTTTCATTATTTATTGTTAAAACAAAAGGTTAAAGGAGACACCTATATTGTTGTTTGAAAAAAAAAATATTCAATACGTTATTTTTTTTGGCGTAGATAAAATATTCAAAATTATCGTTAAATTTTATTAGAGGTTTAGATCAATATTTTTCAAAAGTTTTTTCTTGAATTGTGATGAAAAAGTGTCTCCATCCATGTATCTTAATGGGGGCTATTGCGAACTATCTTTCTGCCTTATGTACGATGATGCCACCTTAATGACAAATTGCGAACATATTTATCTCTTGAAAAGTGGTATGTAATTGTAAAATTGATAAGATTGCAACATTTCATTATCCACTTATCATAATCTCGCACGCAGGGGTGTGGCCTTGTCGTCCAACTGATAAAATTATAATACGATATGCTGTTCTGCCCTCGGCCCATCACACAACGCCGGGGACAAGTACTGCTGTTATTTGAATGTACACTTATTCAGAAAACAGTTTCTTGATATATATGTTACAAATAGTAGTAGTGCTGCACTGTCCTAATGTTCTGCTGCAAGGCAGCATACCTCTATGTAAAGATAAAATCAAAATTATTGACTTACTAGCTGTTCTTCCAGACTACGTTCATTTATGTCAAATTTCAGCGAGATCCATACAACCGTTCTTTAGATACTTTCTAACAAACATCCATCTATGTTAAACATTCGCATTCATAATATGAGTAAGATTGAAACACGTCTTAGCAGACACTTAGCTATCGTTAGCCTATACAAGGCGTGTTCCATTTCTCTTTCGAAGTCGTCTTTAGAACATCCTACAAATGTTCAAAAAAACCTCAATGGTTATTTGATTTTGTAGCTATACTAGCACTTGATAAGTTCATTAAAGATGTTAATTAACTTTGTAAGTTGTATACGAGCGTGAATCTTTTCGTATTCTGTTACACACAATTTCAAGAACAGAAACTATTCGTAACTATTTATTTCGTTTGAAACTAAAATCATCCGTGGAAACTTGCTTTAATATTTAATATACAAAATAAGTCTAATATTATCATACATTGTTATTTATTTTTATTAAAATCCGCTGCAAACATACGCTTTTACGTTCAACTGTCGGCTCGGGTTCGAAGAAACTAATTTCTAGACACAAATTAGGCCACGCGGCCATTCAACTTGTACGCGAATATATTTGGAAACTTTGATAACGTGTGGTTCGCAGTCGTTGACGTGACGCGACTATTGCGATGACCCATCCAACAAACATGCTTTAGCACCGAGAGTATGTAAAAAATGAGATTAATAAAGCAGTAGTCTTATACAGTCTAAGACTTAAATTTGCTTCCCATCTATCTATAACTTATAACGTGATAATATTGCTATAATGAACTTTCGATCTACATCAAATGAAATTTCACCGAAATGGGTAGGAAATAAAAGTCCTCAACAACTCATAGGTAGTTAAATGATTATTGGGATGAAGATTCTTATAAGCTGACAATGTATTGGCTGGAGCTAGCCCAAAAATTCTACGAAGTAATGATTACGATGTTGCCCTCCTACAAATGCTAATTGTGCAACTCTGAGAATCGGTTTTTTAATCGCGTCGGGTAAAACGAGTGGCGGGCGACAGCTAGTGTTTTATATAAAAAAAAACTGTAATTATTTTATGACGGATGAATCGTTGTTTTTCTTTAATTTTAACGTACCAACAAAATGGTAAAATGATTTAGACAAAAAGGCGGGTAAGTAACTTGAGATATCATAGTATTGGAATACCACAGGGAAATTATGATTCTGTAAACTAAACATAGTCGAGCTTCATGGATAAGGGAAAGTCCCAGACAGCGTGATTTTTCTCGCTTATACAGGTTGCTCTCAAACACGAGTTTCTCGCTTATGAAGGTCATTCGTCGCGGGAAAGAACAATAACTCTCACTTATTGAGGTTTCTCATTTGCCCATACTCGAATGTCTCTGTGCTTTTTTATTTGTACTTATGTTATATCACTCTTAACTAAGCGTAGGCTCCGAGCCCCTCGGTAGGGTCGTAGCGAGTTGATGATGATGATGTTATATTTGCGAGTTGTTTAGTTAACGTTGACTTGTTTTAATCGCGACACACTTTGAGCGAGGAATAATTATAGAACTAATCAAGTGTAGATAGCAGATTATCTTATCTAAACACTTTGCGAGATCTAATCAGAAAAAGTAATTGCAGGTATTATGGGTAAACAGAATGTTAGGCTAGTATATTATAAAACAAATATAAATATAATTTATCACATTACAAAACTGATATATAAACACGGCTAAACACTCACGTATATGCCATCGGACGTATATACGTGAGTGTTTAGCCGTGTTTATATATCAGTTTAGTATAAAGTCTCACGAAAGTTTGAATAATTTAATATCACATTACAATTACGTAATATTATTAATATTATAAACGTTAAAGTTTAGATGGATGGATGTTTTTACTTATCAGAACGGTAAAACGGATCTCGCTGTAAGGCATAGGTGTAGAATACTCTGAAAGGCACACGCTACTAAGTTTTTTTTTTAATTCTGCAGGCGATAGCTATTTAATAATAATATGGAGGATTAGAAGACTCAATGAACTAAACATTACGCTAAAACAGGAATTATAAAAATAAAGCGATTTATGGCTAGTCTTTTGATAGCTTGCGATACTTCTATCACCTAAAAATCATTAAAAGTGCAAACAATTAAACAACAATATGAATAAAGAATCGTTTGTTGATGTTTTTATATTACAACAATTGTCGTTGTTAAGATTTGAACGACCTCTATATTGTAAAGATAATGTACAAGAATGTTTTGATACATTGCTCCCATTTCTGTTATAAATATATGAAGAAATATACTTAATTGTTTTTGATCAACAATGTCAGTATACGTTATAAGTTAGTTTTGATTATAAAACTAAATTAACTGAAGTTTGCTTCTTAAAGTAGCTTAATAACATTTAATAACTGTGCCGTGCATTTAAGTCTGTTGTCGTGTGAATTTAATCTTGCTAATATTATAAATGCGAAAGTTTACATGGATGAATGAATATTTGTTATAAGTGTTAGGAAGAAAATCCGAAAATGAGACAGTGTATTGACTCAACACTAGACTTACTAAAATGTAGACGTTTATGTCCCCTCACTATTCATTCTGATACTGGACTTTGTAACGAAAGCACGTCATTCGCGCTAAAGGATTCTAACTAATAATGTCTAAAAGAAGGTATCTTCAGAATAGCTGCATGGATCTCACTGAAATTTGGCACATGTGTAGAACATAGTCTGGAACAATAGGGGAAAATATTTTCTTTCTGTGCATCCTCTTTTCCGTCGATTAAAGGTAGGCAACGCATATGCAATTGCGTATGTCTAAGGGCAACGGTCACTTTGCTATTTCAGCGATTTCAGGTGGCCGCTCGCTCGTTTGCCACAACACATAAGCTACTAATTAAGTTTTTTTTTTTAATTCTACACGGGCGGAGTCAAGGGCGACAGCAAACTAGATGTAAGCGGAAAAACAAAATGACATTTTAAATAACATTATTCTTAATTCTCAGATACTATTTTTTTTTAAGTTGTAGGTTGAATATTTAAATTGACAAGTTCAAAGTGCAATTAGTTTCGCACGGTTTTTGCGAAATAATCGTATGTGTAGTATTAGCATACAATGACACTTAATTAGTATTGAAAAATAAAATATTTTTGCTTAGTATTTCATAGTATAGTATTAGTAAAAACCCTATGCATACTATATTACTTTTAATTTGGAATATCTGTTTGATATTCTAAAGCTATACTTCAACAAATGACAGTATTCTGCCAGTTGCTAGTTTCTATCAAAACGATTTTAATAGACTTTTGGTCCCTTACAAATAAAAATAGCAATGTGCAAGCAAAAGGTAGAGTAACTCAATTATTAGTTCAGTTCGTTGACTTTGATTGGATATTTCGTAATATCCAGCGCGCTGGCAACTTGCTGCTTAAAGGAAAGTGCGACGACCTATTGCGTAGTATGGTAAGCTTCTAGGTCGCCATTCAATGCACCTAGATGCTCAAAATATTCGAGACAAGTTACCAGCGTTTATTTATTTAATTCCTCAATCTTTGACATATGACGTTTCATCCAACTTTTTGTCCGTAGAAAAAGGACTGAAACTTTAACAATAAATAATTATTAAAAATGTAATAGGCATAATGTTTGATAAGTTTTCAGAATTCAGTTTTTATGCAAAAAAAAGATATCATTTAATTGCTTTAGCCGTTTATCTTATCTTTTATGCGATTAGACTGCAGGAGATCGGATTAGGAAAGAATTCACGCATAAACAAGGTCGCTGTATCATATAGGCATATATTATAATGAATTATCATTTTTTATCATTGTAATAATCATGCACGTGTTTTTAGTAAAAATGGAAAAATATGATAAATGCAAATCAAAATCAAAAATTTACGAAGTATTGTACTTTACTAACACCTAACAAGAACCGTGCTATTGTTATCACAAATTCTAATTAAACAAGGAGACAAGGACATAAGATCACAAGAGGACACATTTTTTCACCATAACCTTAATATGGATACTGCAAAGGAAACACAAATGGCAAACGAACAAGCGGCCACCTGAAATCGCTAAAATAGCGGAGTGACCGTTGCCTATAGACAAATTGCATATGCGTTGCCTACCTTTAATCGACGGAGGGGAGGATGCACAAAATGAAAATATTTTCTGTTCCCATGAATCCTCTCATCCGGAAAGACCACTTTCACTTCTCATCCTTTCCTTATAAGAAAAAGGGTGGAAAAGGGCAAGAGTACTAAATGAGGCCTCAGGGACTTACAATCATCAGACGAAACTCGAAATGGCTTCCACTTCATGCCTTCTTCTGTGTGGTCGAGGTATTTCACCGGGCGAGCCGGGCCAATACGTGCTAAGATGTTAAAGCGGGGTCTATCACTTAAAACAAAATACTACTAAAATAATACTACGCCACTTATCATCCCAGACTTTGCATGGATTATGGAAATGTAAAAGAACAAACTTTTGTTTCTTTTTCCAGGAATGTGCGGAATCAAAGAAAAGTTACACATATCAACAGCTGCAGAAGAACATGGCAGTGTTCGCGACATCACTGAGGAAGAAACTGGGCTTGAACCCGGGTGATGTGGTCGCGGCAATGTTACCCAATTGTCCACAATTCCCAGTCGTCGCGTTTGGTGCTTTGCAAGCTGGATGTGTTGTAACTCCAATCAATCCTATTTATAAAGAACGTAAGAATTTCAAATGTATTATACCATACAAAAGTAATATTTAAAAATACTAGTTGTTAGCAACAATTTTTGCACTAAAACAGTAGCTGTTCAATTTTCTTTCACCTTGGATTTTCGAAATATTTCTTGCGCTCCATTTCTTTTTACACAATTTTTTTTATATTAAGCATATTATTTGTATTTGGTAATACGGAAGAATAATGAAGCAATGTTTTGCGATGTTGTTGTTTTCAATTTCCAAGGCTTATTAAATTTGCAATAATGACCTCACTTTGTCGACGTTCAAGATCAACAGCCTTTAAACGATCGTATATAATGAAGTGGATACTGTAAACATGATCAGGGTCAGAGCATTCGCATCGTTTGTGATATAATCGTACCAAAACAAACCTTGGTGCACATAATTGGATATACGTAAAACGTAACTAAATGTATGGCAGGACTGTATTTAGCAGAACTTCCTCTGTATACGTTGCCTTGATTTGTAGTAGATTTAGGGGACCTCTTTGTTTACTGCTTTTTAAATAACTAATATTTGTATTTCTGTTCCAACTAAGCTGAAGAACTAGAAAGAACTAAGAAATAGTCAAATGGCGGGATTCGAACACCCGACCTCGTGATCGGAAATCCGTACCCTTAACTATTAGGCTATTGGTCACTAGATTTACAGTCGTTAGATTTAAGAAACTAAACTAACTACTTTTTATTTTAATTTCAGTTGAAGTAACCCATCAAGTATCAACAACTGCACCAAAAGTATTCGTCACTATACCACAATGTTACGAGACGGTCGTAAAAGGTCTCCAAAATGCAAAGATAGATGCAAAAATCGTTGTCATTGATAATCCATCGGCCCCAATACCAGAAGGTGCAATACGGTACTCAGAAATATCAGAATCTGGTGAAGCTGATTATAGTCTTTTGGATAAAGTTGAAAAGAATAATGATGATGTAGCATTTATACCTTTCTCAAGTGGTACCACAGGTTTGCCTAAAGGCGTGGAAATAACATATGGAAATCTTATAGCTGCTATTGAAATTATGCAAAATAAAAGGAATTCTTTTCCGCTACTTACTCAAGGTAATTTAATTTATATGTAATACAGACCATCAGCTAAATACTAAGGGGCTCCGAGGCTGCCCTATGTTAGAGGTGAGTAGGCCATAGTCAACCAAGCTGGCCCAATGCGGGTTAGTTGACTTCACACTTATCTTTGAATTTCTTCTCAGATATAGGCAGGTTGCATCACGATGTCTTCCTTCACCGTAAGAACGACGGATATGTAAATCGAAATACACATTTGTACATGCCGGAATTCGAACCCAGGACCTGCAGATTGCAAGTCAAGTGCTTAAACCCCTAAGCTACCGATGCTCTTATGACCTATATTATGCATTTAAAATATTGTTGCTTTTTGTCCTTAACAGTACGCTCGGCTTCAAATTTTCATATATTAAGTTCATCGCTGCGTTCATTAAGAAATTGGTTAAATTTTTCAGGTGACTTCCAGGATGTTGTGCCTTGCATCCTACCATTCTTCCACATTTATGGTTTGGTTGTCGCATTAATGGGACATTTGGCGAAAGGATGCAAACTGATATCTTTACCGAAATTCTCAGCAGGCTTGTATCTCGATGTATTGGATAAACAAAAGCCAACATTATTGTATGTCGTGCCACCAATCGGTATGTTTCTTTTTTTTATGGGAGACAAAAGTTTGGACAAAAATGCGCTTGCTTCAATCCTTTTTGATTGTGAATTTTATATATATTTTTTTGTAGCGATCCTTCTTGGTAAGCACCCGGACGTGAAAGTGGAACATTTTGAGAGAGTAAGAAATGTTATATGCGGGGCAGCTCCTTTAGCTGATTCTGATGTTCACGCCATTTTAGAAAAGTGTAAAGTATGTATTCATTTACTTAATTATATTTTCTGATAGTACTGTGAAAAGTTGAAACAATTGATAAAGATAAAGCTTTCTTTAAATAATAAATACAACGCCATCTGTGGATCACAAGGGAAAGTATTCACTTAACGACTTGATCAAAACTAAGTTATGATAAGATAAAATTAAGTTGGCAATATTTTTAGGTAGATGGCACTCTACGAACTCTCTTTTATTTGAAGTAAAAAATGAAAAATAACAAAATTAAATATAGTCAATTGAAAGTGCTATAGATTTAAGTAATGACCGACAACTGCTCCATGAATGAATGTATTTAATTCATGAGAAAATAAATTCCAACTCGATACCTTCACGAGTGTTTGAGAAAAAGGTTCTTGATAGACAAAGTGATCCTATAAGGGTTCCGTTTTGTCCTATGAGGTACGGAACCCTAAAAAGGAACCAATGACAGATTTAAAATACATTTACTAATAACATATTTCAGCGTAAATTGGAGTTCAATCAAGGCTTTGGTGCTACAGAGACAACATCTCTGGCGACAACGACCTTAATGGATTCGACGATCTTGGATTATTCTGCATGTGGAGTGCCAATGGCCAGTGTTCTTCTAAAATTCGTTGACCCACTCACTGGTAATCCTGTTCCTATCGGAGAGGTAAGAGATAATGATGATTAATGTTGAATGTTTAATTAAATCCAAGAATTTCCCATAAATTTTTGGGGCCATAAGTTTTTTAACGTTATAATAAATATCAATTTTTACTACGTTATGGTAGATACTGAATCTCAAAAGATAGAGCCAGGATATCTCTTTGAAGATATATATAGTGTTTAAATTTTGAAAATCAGTTAAGTGGTGCAAATATATAAAATTACTGCAAATATATCAAAATTTATTTAATTTCTATTAAAACGCTCCACGGAATTTGCAGCCCGGAGAACTATATGTGAAAAGCCCAACCATAATGAAAGGGTATCATAAGAACGAGAAGGCAACCAAAGAAACATTAACTGAAGATGGATATTTTAAAACTGGGGACTTAGGATATTACAAACCAGAAGCTGGACTTTACATAACAGACAGGATAAAGGAGCTAATTAAGGTAATCAATTCAATTGCTAAGAACTTTTGTATTTAAAAGTGATATAAATATTGGCTTCTGTTTTTCATTTAGCAAAGGAATTATAATTAAGGATTTAAAATTGATAGAATTAACTAGCTGTAGGAGTGTTTTATGTTTTATCGAACACAGATTGTTAGTATTGTCGCGAATTCTAAATAATTTGTGTTTCCTGACTGTTTAACGTCAAGTGGATTAGAGTTTAAAAACAATTTATAGCGAAGCAAGAAAAATATTAAAGTAAATTAGCGATATTGCTTCTTTATTTTTTGATACTATAGCTAGAGCTATCGACCGCGACTTCATCAGCGCGGCATTAAAAAATACCTTAATTAGTAGCTTATATGTTCCTTCAAACTATGCTCCACATCAGTGGTTCCCAAACTTATTTTGTCTACTGCCCACTTTGAGAATAAATATATTTTAGCGCCCCCATATTAGAGTTTAAGGAATCCTTTAATTTATATTAGTTGATGTTCACAAGTTGTTGTTGAGAGTCGATAGTTCATGCAGTCGTTGTCTAAGAGGCCTCCTAGCTGAATAAAGTTACAAATCACCCCCCAGGTCTCTACGCAACGCCCCCATTTTCTTTCTGGGTCTCTTACCGCCCCCCTTGAGACCTGCAGCGCCCACAAGGGGGCGTTATTACCCACTTTGGGAAAGACTGCTCTACATCTATGTCTTTCAGCGAGATTCAGCTGTTCCGGAGACACCTAACAAACATCCATCAATGTAAACATTCATATTTATAATATTATTAATATTACAGGTGAAAGGTATGCAAGTTGCACCAGCGGAATTAGAGAGTATACTCCGTTCACATCCTGCTGTACAAGATGCAGCTGTTATAGGAATACCTCATGAAATATACGGAGAAGTTCCTAAAGCTTTTGTTATTCGTAAGAATGGTAAAGAAACGTCGGCAGAAGAACTACAAAGCTTCGTAGCTGATAGAGTAGCGGTGTTCAAGAAGATAGAAGAAGTTGCATTTGTTAATGATATACCTAAAACAACAACGGGGAAAATATTGAGGAAAGATTTGAAGAAAATGTACGCGTAGTGAGCGATTTAAGGCTGTGATGTTATATTTTTAATCGTAGAATTAGACTGTCTTGTATTAGACATATTGCTGTCTCATTTTTTTCCAAGAGAAAGAAAGGGATGACAATGTCAACACAAATGTAACAGCAGTGGAAATTCTCGGTTGAAGTTACAAAAGTTGTTAAAATTAAAATTATTAAGAAAACAAATATTAAGGAATAGGAGTGAATATTGAATTAATTTTATACTGAAATTTTGAAATCCTAGATAATTAATAAGTTAAAATGTTTGTAACACAATCTGGTTTTTTTCTTCTTGTTTTATTCGTGTTTTTTTTTTGGTATCGTGATAACTAAATTGCAGCTTCAAATATCTAAATGTCAAAATGTTTGTGAATGTAAAAAAAAGCTTTTAATCTTCAAGAGAAGTTATTTTTTTAACTATGATTATCATATTTGTATAATGCACTGACAAGTATGTTCGGGTTGGGTTCCTTTGACTTTGTAAAAAAAAAAAAGTAAAATATGTACTTAATATTTTATAATAAAAAAAATGTGACGGTTGAAGGGAAAAGACATATTGTTGTAGATTTTAGTATAATGAAAACAGTATAATTATAATAATATGTATATTTAAATAAATTCCAGCTTGATACCTTCACGCGTTTTTGAGTAAAAGGGTCTTGACAGATGGACGGATGGACAACAAAGTGATGCTATAAAAGGTTCCGTTTTTGTCTATGAGATACGGAACTTTAAAAATATAAATTAAGTAAATGTATAAATGTAATAAAATTAGAGCGAAATAATGTACCAAAAAATTAAAAAAAAAATTATAATACATAAAAAATATAACCTACAATTTATGTTGTATATTTGTTCGAGTTTACACAGGCGAAACATTCTCATAAATGTATTGTCAAGATGGTTTATGTGAATGTTTTTAGAACGTCCATTACATAAAGACACATCGAGTTTTTAAAAAGACAAGACATGTGGATTTTTTATACCTTAAACTAAATGTATGAAATTAAAAAAAATACATATTTTTTTTTATTATAAGTTAAGGAAGTTTTTGTATATTTGCTTTTATATTGAAGTTAAGATCATTTTATTAAAGTATTAAATTTAACAGGGAAAGGATATTGTTTTTTTTACCTTAATTTCCTTATGATTTGTCAGTAAAGATAAAGATGTCGAATTTGGAGCGAAGCTGTATTAATTTCTTGATTAAGACTGTTTTCAACAACGTATAGGAATTATTGAATGGCTACGTTACTTAGGTAGCTAATACAAAAAAAAATGCAGGAATAACTTCATATTTGTAGCCATAGTGTCTAATCACGTGGTGGAGGATATCAAATTATAACAAAAGTTACAAAAGTTCATATAACTTTTAAACAAAAAAGTTGGATTATTTTTAGTCTTTATCGAGTAGTTATCGATCTTTACCATTACAGTTTTTTTTTATATCATAAGGTGGCAAACGAGCGAGCGGTCACCTGAAATCGCTGAAATAGCGAAGTGACCGTTGCCCATAGATATACGCAATTGCATATGCGTTGCCTACCTTTAATCGACGGTGAAGAGGATGCACAGAAAGAAAATATCTTCCCTTTCCTTGCTTCCTCTCATCCGAAAAGTCCACTTCCACTTCCCATCCTTTCCTTATAAGAAAAAGGGTGGGAAGGGAAAGAGGACTAATTTTGGCCTCCGGGACGCACACTCATCAGACGAAACGCGGAATTGCTTCCACTTGACGCCTGTCTTCTGTGTGGTCGTGGTATTTCACCGGGCGAGCCGGGCCGATTCGTGCGAATATGTTAAAGCGGGCTCTACCACTGTTGTTTATCGATGAATTTTGGGACACGCTGTATATGTAAAATTTTTGTAAAATAATAAAAGAATTTGAAATATTATCAAAACTGTTAGATCGTAATGTTGCCACATGCACATAAAAACACTTTGGAAACAATAAGATGATATCAGTTTTTCTTCATAACTAAAAAGTTTTCCTTTTATTTGAATATAACACAATGAAAATAACAGATATCAATGTCGCGTATTTTTTGTAAAAAAAAAAATCTTTATATTAACAATAACATTTTAAGCCGGTTCCGTACGCTTGGTGTTTGGTACAGTCATAATTACCAAACACGTGCCAAACATCGATCACAAACATCCAACAAAAACAAGCATCCTTACACTTGGCGACTTGACTAGCCGTCACGCGGACTCCATACGTGCGGAATGAAAAAAAACTTAATTAGTCTATGTGGTCTTCCAGACTACCATCTATGTAAAATTTAAGCGAGATCCATGCAGCCGTTCTGTAGATACCTCCAAACAAACATGCATCTAAACATTCGCGTTTATAATATTAGTAAGATGGGCAAGAACACTTTATTCTGAATATGATTTCTGTAGAAAAACCGGCTATATTACTCGCACAAACAGCGAACACCAGATACAAAAAGGCAAACACCTATCCACACGTTCATGTTTGTTTCGTATTTCCTGTTCGCCGTTATTTGCCAAGTGTGAATAGTTGGCTTCATAAAACAATTCAAATTTATTTTGCAACTAATTTAAAGAAATAACAAAAAATAATCATAAGAATTTTATCAATAATATTCAAATTAAATTAAGTTAATTTAAATTTATTCTTAAAAATTTTTCCTTGTTATTTATTAAACGATAAAGTTTATTACACGCGCTGTTGATAATCTTAACATATTACAAAATAGTTTTAATAAAATAATTAAAAATCTTACTCATTTAACGATTATTCTTGCAAGAATTTTTATTTATACTTAACAAACCTAACAGAATTAAAAAACTTAATTAGTAGCCTATGTGTTCTTCCAGACTGTAATCGACAAATGACAAATTTCATCGAGATCTATTCAGTCGTTCTGTATATAAATTCAAACAAACATCCATCCATTCACCTATCCAAACATTCGCATTTATAATATTAGAAAGATCGGAAAGATTATATAGATTCACAATTAAACTTTTAGTGTAAATTTTACAAGAGTGTTTCCACATCTCCATTCCATCTTGTTTTAAATTTTTATAATTAATGTACTATATTATTTTTTTAATACTCCATTTCATCCAATCGATGTTTCGATTCGATAAATCGATACGAAAAAATAATAGCATTCCGACACACATCGAATTATGACACATCTCTAGAGTGTACTGTATTGGTCAGAATGGTCTGTAGTCTGTACAACCTCTATATGTGTAAAGGCAGTTATAAATAGCACAGTTACAACACACGACTCACGACGCGCAACACTTGTGTTTACGTTCTAAAGTGTCACGAAGAATATATTTCAAAGGTATAGTGATTTGTTTTGAATATGTTCCTTTTTAATCTGTTAATAATTCTAAAGGCAAATAACATAGAATGGATTAAGACAGTGACTAATATTGAAAGTGATGCTAAAACGTTGTACATTCGTTTTACAACTTGTTGATTTTATAAACAAGAACATGGCAATTCAATTTTATTGTACCAAGTTTGTAAAATAGGTTTATAATGACAAAACTTTTAAAATTGAGTCTGAAAATGAAATAAATGAAGAAAGTAACAATCACCAAGTTTTTTTCGGATCATCATCAGCTCACTATACGTCGCCACCGAGGGGCTCGGAGCCTACCCTAAGTTAAGGGTGATTAGGCCATAGTCAACCACGCTGGCCTAGTGCGGGTTGGTTGACTTTACACATATCTTTGAATTTCTTTTTTCGGATATTTTTCTATAACTGAGGCAAAGAAATATTGATTACTTTCTGATAATTTTATAATATTTTCCATTTATTATTGCTATTAACTTGAGTAAATTACGCAATTGTTTTTATATCATGAAGCAGGCTACTGCTATTTTATTGGTATAACAATTTACATTAACACATAAATAATCCTTAATGTGTATAAACTAAATATAGTAAAATAAATACAAAATCACATCAACTCTTGCTCCGCCACTGGCCGTGAAGTATAGACGTCTGATCTCTTTTCTGTCATCCAATACTCTTCCCGGCGATGTCCCATCTATCAGTAGAGACATTGAAAAGACAGCAAAAACTGTTAATTCAATATTTTTAAACCAACTAGCATTTTATAAGATAACTTCGTTTTAACTATGTCTTACTGTAAATAAGGGAACGTACCCGTACTACGTGACCCTTTTAAGGGGGGAAGCGGAGTCTTTAAAATACTACGGTCAGTCACAGGAGCGGGGTCGGGGCTCCAATTTTAGTCAGGTAGTCGTTACTTGTTTTTTTTTCATAATACATAATTCACTAGTAATTTAAGTATGCATCCAGTCTTATGCTATAAAGAAGAGTATGAGCCAAATTATTTTTTTCACAATTTTTGCCTGTGAAATGATTCAAAATTATAATTATGAATAACTACGTAAAAACTAAAGGGGTTCTTGGCATGTACTACGAGTGGTCACCGAGGGGAGGGAGTGGTCGAAAAAACTAAAAAATAGGTCACGTAGTATGGGCATGTTCCTTAAATGCATGTTAGTGTCAGTGTTTTTTGCATTATCTTTGTTTATGATGCGGTTATGCGAACACAATACTTTCAATTGCAAACAATGCCTGTACATTGACCTTATAGTTCATTGAATGAGACAGTGCAATAATTTATGTACACGTTATTAACTACTGCGCCCACGCGGAATAAAAAAAAAATACCTTTTAACAAATATCTATCCATCCATCTAAATTTTTGCATTTATAAAATTAGACCAAAGAATTGTAGGAATAGTAGCAAAATTGTAATACGTATGTGTTAACTGCAAAGGGGAAGTACCATGATCTCACAATACTTGCACAGAAAGAATGGCACAGATTTTTAAATTACAAAGTTTGATATAAATCTGTTAGCCCCCCTTCCTCAATAGACGTGGTAAAAGGCGCCCAGGGCGAGATGTTTAAGGCGCCCAGACATCTCGCCCAGGGCGCCAGTAGAGCTAAAACGGTTATTTAGCATATCAGACGTGGACGTTTGCTGTGTAATATCTTATATATAAAATTCTCGTGTCACAATTTTCGTTTCCATACTCCTCCGAAACGGCTTGACCGATTCTCATGAAATTTTGTGAGCATATTGAGTAGGTCTAACAATCGGCCAACATCTATTTTTAATCCCGCGCGGACGGAGTCGCAGGCGACAGCTAGTCTTAACATAAAAATTATGTCAGTATCTCTTATTCTTATTTGCAAAAAAATGAGACAGCAATATGTTTTATGATATTGTTTCGTTAATGTAAACTCATGGTTTGACAATATTACACTTTGTTCTACATATCGTATTTATCAATAACGTAATGTACAAAGTGCAAAACAATACATTTTGTATATACAAAATATGCGCGTGACAAAATGATGTATAGGCATACTAGCTGTCGCCCGCTACTCTGTCCTCGCGGAATTAAAAAAACAACATAATTTGTAGCCTATGTGTTCTTCCAGACTACGTTCTATATGCATGCCAAATTACATCGAGATCAGTTCAACCGTTCTGTTGATACCTTCAAACAAACATACATCCAAACATTCGCATTTATAATATTAGTAAGATGTATAACGACATAAATGAGATTTTTAAGTCGATTACCAAATAATGCCTATTTATTTTACAGCTGGCAATTTATTCTTAGTTTCAATATACATAAAATAATGATTACATGTAACGACGATAACAATAATTTCATAATACGAACATACAATAATGTACGCTGATATACGTACAAGTATGTACACACATTATCTTGTTTCAGTGTTCTTGACGGTACGGTCTGATGTACATGCCTCATTTGATTGAATAATAAACAATATATTCTGTACAAGATGATGAAAAATCTCGAAGTATTCCACAGAGCTTTAAAACTACTAGAAGCGACATCAAAGATCTCAAGTGTTAGTGTAAGAAGGTTAAATGCATGGGGCCAAGATGGTACAATAAAATCGCCGTATAAAAATATTGAAATACCAAATTGTACTTTATATGAATATATATGGCAGAATCTGGACAAATGGCCAGAGCGTACGGTATCGGTGAGTTTTTTTTTAATATTATCTAAATTATCAAGGAGGTTTTGAAGATCATCTTTGTAAGTTTGTGAAGCTAGCGATTGTAATTTACAAGTTTGCTTACGGCTTTGATAAACGATTAGCCTGTCGTAGAAAAAACAAGGCAAAGGTCAATACGTTTTCTCGCATTAAGTTTCAAAATGTAATAACAAAATAAGTAAAGGTTGCATTCACAACTCCTTGTCTACCCGACTTTTCATCGTCACCGATTGAGCGGGACAAAGATACATTTGCAATATTTCGAGGCGGAGAGGTGATGGGCGAGCGAGAAGTGGACTAATACGTATTAACTTTTAAGCAATAGAATCTTATATTTAGAAGTTTATCACGTAATACTAGTATACTACAAAGCTGGAGATTTTCTTGTTATTTGGAATAACTAATAATTTCACGTAATTAAATAATTGTTTTTTTTTTTT